TCATGTTTCCATTGCATGTTCCAGGGCCTCACCCAGGCAGTCCCTTTCCCATCATCCCTCGTCATCATCCATCATCCTGGCAGCCAGACCCAGCTGCCCCGTGCACCCTCACCCGTGAAAGTGTCCAGTCAGCAGAAAAGGTAGAAAAGTGTGATCCAAGTGTCTTCGCTCTCATCGTTCATATCCGCTCCGTGTGCCTTGCGGCGTGTCCTTCTAGTAAACCCAAAGCAACCTTTGATTAGGTTGGTGTAAATGTAGAAAAATGTGGTATCAAAATGGGGAAGATCAGAAGAGAAGATTCTAAAGTGTCCAGCAGTGCAAGACAGGCTGCCAAGCAGCCCTGGTTGCGCGAAAGGGAATAAGCGATTGCCTGAATCACCTTTGCGGAGGCGGTATACATACCATGCAGATGGAAGGCGAGCCTTCTGCACACATTTATACAACCCGGAACCAGCCAGGATGCTAGATGAGCAAGAAGTCCCAGCCCTTCATCTGCATGACATCCCTCCAGTGGATGTATGCTACCGCCTCAGCTCCTTGCGTGGAACCAGGGCTGCCGGCGCAGCTGTCACTGCTCTTGATGTTGCCTGTCTGCATCCAGACTTCATTGAGGAGCGAGGCGACGCGGCCGAAGGAGCCGCAGTCAGAGACATCGCCAAGCTGGGCAACGCGGTCCTCAAAGAGAGCGCGGAAAGAGCTGCCAGGCAAGCTGACAGAGCCGCCCACGAGGTAGACCCAGACGAGACTGCGGTCAAAGCCTCCAGGTCCCGAGGGGATAAGCTGGAGAACGTTGGCAAGCTTCTCAACCAAGCCGACACAGGAAGCCTGCGCGGGATTGAAGCCGGGTACCAAGCTGCAAAGATAGATGCGAGCGGCAAGGCGGAATGCGGCTGTCATGTTCTTGGAAAGCTGCTTAGGGGAAAGGCTTCCGTTGTTATTATAAGGCATCTTGGGACCCGGCTCGCCAATCTCGGTGAGGTTGATCTGGTCGCCAAGAGCGTGGACGTGCTGGCAAAGAGTAATGTCGTCCATGCCGCTTCCCTTGAGAGCCTCGAGGCAGGCGATCTCAGAAATGAGGTACATGACACGGTCATCGCATCCCATGAGCTCGCGAAGACCCAGGCTAGGGTTGTTTGACAGGTGCTTCTCGCGGTAGGTGTGGGCAAAGGTAGGAGCTTGTCCCTGCATGGTGGCGCCAAGAATGTCAATCCAAGAGGTCAAGGTCATGTTGAAGGGAGTTTGGGTTATCTGCTCATGGGGATCCGAAACCAGGCGGGGTAGGTCAAGCTTCTGGACCAAGCTGATGGCAGCTTGGAAGTGCTGGTGCCAGGGGATGTCGGGCAGTGCGTCGTCGAAGCGACCGACGACACACTGGAAGAAGATGAGACCCAAAGCAGCCTCGAGAATCTCCTGGTGGTTCTCGTCCTTGTTCAAAGCGTCGCAAAGAGACGAGATGGTGGCATACCGATGGCGCATGATGTCCTGGTCAATCTCCTCTCCGGGAACGTTCATGGTCGCCTTGTAGTGCTGGGCGGCGATGCTAAGACAGCAGTGCAGGTAACCCTTGTTGCTCTGCAGAGCCGGCAAGATCAGATCGGAACCGACTGAGCCGTGTTGGTTGGAGTCGAGAATGGGAAAGATGGTGGGCAGGACGAATTGGATAAAGTGGTCCAGCAGGCGCTGATCGTTCTCGTCAAGCTCAACTGCGACCTGGCGGTTGGACATGGCCGGGCCATGAGAGAAGTCGAAGAAGTTGACGTTGAGGGCCTCCTCGCTAAGGGACTCCTTGCGCTCAGAGTAGATCTGCTCGGTCCACTCGCCGTCGAGGGGCACGGAGGAAGGCAGGATGGTTCCCGGGGGTGGGGGAGTGTGGTAGGTGCTGAAAGTGGAAATGGTCGACTCCCTTAGAGTGGGCACATCGTTCATGTAGACCTGGCGCTCAGTCTTGACATCAATCTCGTAAGGCGAGGGGAAGCCACTGAACATGAAGTCGGGGTGCATCTGGGGGTTGTAGGCAGCATAATCGGCACCGACAGTTGGCGGGCTGTTGAAGTTGAAAGCCTGGGAGAAGTGCGAGTCAATGGAGGCGGAGCGAGTGCGGTCCAGAGGGTCGGAAAAGGTGGCAGAGGTGGGCAAAGAGTGCGACAGGCCGGGAGGAGAGCCGACGGAAGTCTGGATTGTGTGCGACGCCTTCTCTGAGAGCTTCTTGCGCTTGATAATCATCTTGATGTCGTCCTTGTGCTTGCGGCGGGCGTCGTTGTTGCTCCACCACATTGGGCGCTTGTATTCGCATGTCAAACCAAGATGTTTGCAAGCGGAGCACATTGGCGAGCCCTCGTCGCACTTCTTGCGGCGCAGTCTGCAGGTGTAGCATCCTGTAGAAAATTCAATTAGTCTTAAGTGCTTAGATGAGGTTTGACCATCGTAGAGGACACAATTTGAGGTGAGTAAGGAGAGTCGCTCCCGTGTAAGTGGGATTTGGATGTGGGTGTAAGTCAAGCATGGCTAATACCATGCCAAATGGGATGGGATTTGGGGAAAAGAAGGGGATTCTTGGGATGAACGTACCTGTCCTTGAACGGCGGTGCATTTGTGACTTTGCCTTGGAGCTGGCATTGTTGTTGTTGGTGGTGTTGGCTTTGCAGGCCGACTTGGCCTTCGCAGAAGATGCGACGGCCATGTTGACTGCAGCTGTTGATCTCATGAAGTCCTCTCGAATGTGGTTGGGGGGTAGAGATGCCATTTGTACCCTTCTTCTGTTCGCGATGGAGGTACCTGCGTGTGAATGACAAGCCGAGCAGCGAAGACAGAGCTAGAGCTGGCTGGCTGGGGCGGAGGAGAGAGAGAGGAGGGAGGGAGGGGTGTGGTGAAGGGTGTGTGAATGTGTGGTGGACCGGGGGTGATCAGGGACCAGGGTCGACAAGTGGAGGGGCGTGGCAGGAACCGTTACACTGTGTAGAGACGGAAGCGACCGACACTGTGCTCTGGACCGGGGAAAGAACGACCAGGGGTCCTGGGGGGTGTGAGAGTGCGAGTGCGCGCGTTGTGGCCTTCTCCTCTTTTCTTCTGATTTGTGTGTGCTGTGTGTGTTTGTGTGCTGGGTGAAGCAGTCTTCGTTCCTCTGTGCTCTCTCGCTTCTCTTTCTTTCCTGGTAGCCAAGAGTGAAAAAAAAAGGCGGGGACAACCTGGGATCGATGTTGGAGAGGGGGGAGAACTCGACGAGGGGGATTCGATGGTCAGGAATCGTCTGTTCGCTCGCCCGCTGTCAACGCAATTTGAGATGAGAGACCGGTTTGTTTGTCGAATGGTTTGTCGAGTTTCCAGAAACCCGAGGTTCCAAATCGTATCAGATTATTGAATTATTTCTTTCTTCCTTGTCGTTCAAAATGCAACAGCAAATTTGATCTCGTTTCGTAAACTGTAAGCAATGGGCGCGCTGCAAATTGTAAAATTGCAAATATGTCGAGAGTGATCGACTGTGGGTTTTTTGGTTTCGGTGGTGTCGAATGAGTGACTGGTCGTTTAGCAAGTCCGGCTTGCCTTGAACTGGATTATCGGGTGGTATTCGAGTGGTTGGGGTTTTCCGAAGATTGTGGACGGAGGGTATCAAAAAACAATTGTATGAATGAGAGAGAAAAAACCTTGAACAAACACTTGGATCACTTTTCCTTCTTCTTCTTCTTCTTCTGCTTGACTTCTACAGATCAACAACGAGAGGAGGCCAGAATCCAACTGTTCGTGATGGATGGTCCAAAGTCTTATATTGTGGCCGCCTTCATCATGACCGTCCTCTTGTTGCGCCAACCAACGGGCCTTTGAGTGGTCTGCCTGGTGTTCACTACGTAGCCAACATCAATATTGTTCTAAATTTGGATACACCTATGTATGTGTGTCTCCATCGTCCCCCCGAGCCGTGAGTGTGTGTGTGCCTGCTCTGCATTCCAGACTAACGTAGGCTAGGGCACAAGGCAGGCCGGCTGGCCGCCTTCACATCGAGTGCGTGAGACTTTGACCTGCGCTTACAGGCTCCAATGAGAATGGGCCGCCAAAGGCGGTCGCACTCACTGTTGGACCCCACCTGAGAATAGAATAGGAATGGACACTTCCGCGTCGAGAGGGGGGGCAGCTTCGAGATGGACGACATGGGTGCGAGCAGCTGTCGAGCGAGTGAACGGGCAACGCATGCATATCGTGGCTTGCCATGGCTGGCTCTGGATGGCAGGCCATGGGGACCAAGGTGCCAAGCACACCTTCGACCACCTGGTCACCACGCTACGCAGAGACATGCAGAACCACATGGGGCCCGCCTCCTGTTTGCCCAACCCGACTTGCCAACCTGCTATCGAGTTGTGCTCCATCCGGCCATATGCCTCTCCGGCTGTCCGCCGTCGATGCCGCGTCCACTCTGTCGTCCCGGGCCCTGACCGGTGCAGATGCTGATCTTCAATATCGACTGGAAGGGGAAACTTGATGCTGCGAGTAGCAGTTCGCCCGGATGCGAGTTCACCCCGCGGGAGTCCGTTGCGCAGCCGGAGCTGCAGAAACACATAATAGTATCCGTATGGATTATCTGTATGGTCTTGATCTATCTTGTATACGTTGCACCGGCTCCGACATCAAGTACTATCGATAGATGGTCCCCCTCGGCCGCCAAGCAGGCCGTCGATGGCACGATTTGAGGAGAGGATTTCGGGGGCCGACGGATGACCAAGCACTGAGCAGAGCTACAGTTAGCCAGGCTCCTCCCTGCAAATGACATTTGGTCGTGGATCATTTCTCCCACTAACAAGCTCTGTCCTAGGATCGCACGTACTTGCATGAAGCTTGCCAACCACCAACACAGTTCGCTGAGCTTGTGGGACCCATCATCGAAATACTACCGTAGGTATTCGTAGAGCCAGAAGCGAAAGCCGGGCAAGAACCTACGGGTTTGCATGGGTATGGGGCCCTGTCAGCCTTTTTTGGTGAGGTTAGCCCTGTGTCTGACAAACGCGGTGGATTCATCCGATCATCCCATGTGAGGAGCCTCGCTTCATGGTTGCATGATGGATGTCCATGAGCGGAACATGACTAGTCAACCGCTGGAGCCCCCGTTGAATGGCATCAAATATGGCAATCAGCCTGATCGTTTTCTGGGAATGATCTTCATTGCTGTTGGTTCTCCAAAGACCCATGCTGGGTGAAAGTTCAAGCCCCGTCGAATTAGGTCCCGTAGTGTTTGCTACTTTGGCAACAGGTTGCCGACTCTGGCGAGAGCGATGTTGGATCTCATCTTGCCTCGTGTTCTTCTTTGAGACTTGGACTCGACCGAACAAGACAGGGCCTTCTAAAGAGCATCCACAAATGAGAAGGCCGAGAAAGGCGGTCAGCTCCCGGATTGGATGGTCCATACGGCCACTCAATGTCGGTCGAATGTGGCTGCCGGAGTTGATACGGTGGAACTAGGACTTTCTGTCGTGCATGGCGAGAAGTTCAGGGGTGCTTTGCTGTATCCTGTAGCCTGTCAGCAGGTGGGTTTGTGCTTGGTGTAATTGGATTATCCGTAGATAATCAAGAGAGTGAAAATACCTCGGATCGTGGGGAGGATAGGCGAGTGAGGCGAGTATCCATCTCCAAAGATGAGCGAGTGGGTTTTGATGGAGAGTGGAAGATGTCGAGGCCGGTACTTGGCCATCGATACCCAACTACAGCCGAAAGTGGTGGCAGGTGCAGCAAGCAAGGGGGTATCATGGCACCGCGGGAGATGTCGTGCAAGGTGCTCCGCTCCGCCAAAGCCGTCAGGATTTCTTTACTTCTTGCCTGCTGTACTCCGAAGTCGTTGCGAATAACGGCTGCAGAAAGGCACAGGGACAAGGTTGCGGCTGGCTACTCGTCCTCCCGATGGTAGGTAGGTAGGTACTACTCCGTTGAGGTATTTGCTTTGCGTTTCTTTTTCCCTCTCCAGTCTCCAGCACCTGCCACCTCTTTGCTTGGACAGCCTGACAGAGGTACGGAGTACGTCGTTAGCGTCATTGTCGGTGCAGTCGAGGTTCCTTTGTCAAGAGGGCTGGCGCAGACGTTGATTCGGCGGCGAGGTGTGACGACTTGTCGTCTCGTGCAGGGCTTCGGGACCAACCGTTCATTAGCGCTTGTGATGTTGCAGGGATTTAAGCTCTTGTGAAAGGACCGCTACGGCCCCGGATTGGCTATTGTTTGCTGCAAGCGAGAAGATCGTGCAGGAATATTGGTCAGGGACTCCCCAGCTAGTCCTCCGGGTGGGGGCAGAGCTTTGGCCAATACGTAGTACGCGGCAGGAGCGCGGCAAGTGACAGGGCACCTTCTCGCGGGGTTCGCATGCTAAGGCACCTTAGCTCCATGTTTCCTGCCCCTCTTGTCTCTTGCTCTTGCCCTCGCAGGGAAGCAGAGGCGCTGCAGCGGAAGGCACGCATGGCACGTTCCTCAGATGCTTGTCCACCATCTGCCAGCCAAAATCTGGCTTTTGTGCTTTCCTCACGAATTTCGGCCAATCACGGTGACGTATCTTCATCTCTTTCCCCTCCTATTCCTGCTCTCCGCTTCCTTCCGTGCCGTGCAAGTGCTGCCGAACGACAACCTCAGGTACCTTCCTTGCCGTATGCATCTGGCAGGCACGCCGCCCGCCGCACGGCAAGTTTGCTGTCTGGAGGAGGCACGTCGGGCAAGGTCCGCCGATGATGGTGATCTCCCGTCAACAGGACGCTCTTGCCTGGTGAGCTAAGGTACGGACTACCTATGTACTTGGCTACGTTGCCCTAAGGTACGGCATCGGAGTACCGCCCTCACCACCTTCCGAGACGGAATACTCGGATCATCTTCACTTCCCTGTACCTTCCATTGCTTGCTTAAGCAGTACGGATAGGTACCGTTCATCTGACCATCTGGCCATCCGTCACCCTCGGAACAAACCTCATCCATGATCCCATCTGGGCCTATTTCTGGCGGCCTAATTAGCCGCCCAGCTCATGATGCGTGATCGAATTAACCCTCTTTGCGTCACACTATTTGCCCTTTTGCAACTCTGACATGTGGGCTAATTTGAGCACACCTCTCCATGCGTCATCCAGCTCGTCACATCGTCTAGCCGCTGCAGCTGTTTACTGTCACCCGCAGAATTCAGTCACGCCAACTAACAACCGTCGTCTGCTTCTATTTTTATTTTACCCCCATTCTGAGAGGATTATCCCTCTTATCCGGGAGTTTAACCTGCCAGGTCACGATATCACCCCATATCGATAGTCTGCCAACTTTTAGATCATGCGGGCTAATTATGGCGACAGCTTCCCACCCAACTGGCACCATCGCCCAAAGGACCTAATTAGCTCCAACGACACTACCTACCGCCATTACATCCGAACTCCGTCAACTTTAGTTCACGCCAATACACTCGACGGAGCGTTGGTTTGCCATTAATCCGGGGTCTACGGAGTACACTGCAAACCTACCCGTCAGTAACGAACGGTCTTGCATCGGCGGCTCGAACCAACAGCTCGCCGCCTCGAGGCAGCACCCGGCCTGTACAGCATCCGTGCCGTACCTACCTTGACTAGGTTTCTGCGCACGCGGTCATCAGCCAACAGCCCAGGGTCTTTTTTCTTTTCCTTCGCAACATGATGCCTGCCTTTCTGCCCGCTGACAATCACAATCATCGCAAAATGTTCACGATCGTCGCCCATCGCGTCTCTCGAGTCTCAGGGGGCCCATGGCTCGCGGAGTGCGCAACAATTATCTGCCCGTCCCGCAGTACGGATACACTACGTCCCGCCTTCGCCGCAGTAGAGCCCGCCGTTCGTCAGCGTCCGTCCCGCGGAAGACGCAAGTTTATCCGGTCAGACGCCACATGTGCCTCGCTGGCCGGGTTGCCGTTCTGTCAGACTGTCAGTGCCCAACTGATTGATATCGGTGCTCGCTATCACAACCTCATCTACATTCGACTCTTCCATTCGCATTGTCAGCTCGTGCGGCACATATAACAACACTATTCGGCATAAATATTTATTCTCTCGCAGCCAAATATGGCATGATTCAACGATCGGCGTGGCCAAGACACTGTTTTTGTGCCTCACCCTCGGGCCCTCATTACCCCTTGTACATGACGGATACTACACTGCGGATATGGTGGCATTGAACCATTCGATTGAGTTGAGGCGATCGTCGACTTCGGTTGCAAGGTCAACAGCCTCGTTCGTACCTGCTTTCAGCCAGAAAGAGGCGACAGAAGGACGCCCCTGTCACGGTGCAATCTCCTTTTCTCCAGATCACACATATCTGAGTACCTTGTTATCGAAGAAAGTTAATTCTTTCTGAGTCACAAGTACAAGAATACAGTTTTAATAAAACAGTGTAGTGCCCACCCAGCACTTGAATTGAGATGCTTTTTCAAGCTTGCCATGAGAGAAAGATGACTGTACTGCTGACTGCCTGCCATCGAGGTCCGCAAGTGGCGCTGTGGCTTCAATCGCTGTGGCTTCAACCGTGATGGCTTCGCCCGTGATGGGCGAAAAGTCTGGTTATGAGTCCCTTGAAAGCCTCTCATCAAGAGCTATAAGAGCCTCCGAGTTGAGTTGAAATGCTTGCCAAGATACCAGATCACACATATCGTTTCCCTCCACTACCTATGTCGGCTTTCATCTTCTGGAGTCGTCAATGGCAGCGAGCAAAACCCCGCGCCGTTGATTGGCGGACAGACTTTGAGGCGTTGAGGTGTGCCCATCATCCCCAATCACTGTCCTGTTGTGGCTAGATTAATGTGATGTGATGTGAACAGCATCTTTGAACCTTGAGGGTCGAGATATCGGATTGCAGGGAATGCGGCCGCTAGATTTTGCGGAGAACAAAAACCACGCCTGGGCATCCCAGTCTTCCCGCTCTTCCGCTAACAGCTCGCGAACGGCGCAACATCGCGTCGCTTCTGGACCCCAGCCACGCGCGGCACATCGACACAGATCCTAGTCGCAACCTACGGCCTCTAGTCTGTCTCTGGGCTTATTGTTTGCCTTTGGCGAAAATATTACGTCCGTAAACATGGAGAAGAAGACGCGCGAACTAAGAAAGATCGCGGCATTATTCAAAGCGGCAGACAAACCTTTGTGGTCGACTACCTAGCAAATCTCACAAGGCCAGGAACACCCTGGCCGACATTCTCAGCTTTGAGCTCCGTACCGTACGGGAGCACTGTACCAGATCCATGCTCTCCCGCCCTCCCGCTGAATCTGTGGATCTAAGCTTCCAGGTCCAACCCCCAACGCCGCGATTCACTCAAATACTGTGTTGTATTGCGGCACAGAATCACAAATACAGCGCATACTGCATTGCAATTTGGAAGAGAACATGGCCCCCGTGAGGTCAGATTTCGGACCCCAAGGCACAATAGGAAAGTTTGCATGATTTTCAACGTCGCATGTCTAGACATTACGGGATGGCATGCAGCTGACAACCTTTCTCTTCAACAATCGACAATTCAAATAACACCGAAGATTTAGCATTCTAGGCCCTAACATCGGATGCATTTCAACCAACAATGAATTACGAATTTGATGTTGCATTGAGGATACGAATGACAAAGGAAACCTTGAAGAGCCATCTTACGGACAATGCCTCCCATTGTCTGGATAAATTGACTGCTTGCGATACGACTCGTGGCAGATGGATGCCAAGCACATTGCAGATGATAAGCCACGCCCTCTGTATCGGCTCGCCTCGCCCTGTCAACTACGAGATGGCAGCCATTTTCGACATGCCACTAGTGGAGCGCCAGTTGCGGACCGAAATCACGATGACCTGCATCCGTCTCGCTCAGGCCATCCGCGCCGCATCGCCATGCGATCTGACGAAGAGATTTCTAGGGGCTTGCAAACGGTCACAATGCAACGAGTTCTGGTTCTGAGACTCGTCAACACCATCACAATCGCCTTTCCAGCATCGAAATCCACTGGTTGACATGAGCGGGAGAGTCATCCATCCACAACAGTAGTGCGAGGCTCGCATTAGTTCGCCATCATGTGAGAGCGCGTGAAAACGTGTTCCAGCCAACTCATTGGAGGACATGAGTTGCGCACTGGAGACATGTCTGGAGAACGTCGTTTCTCACGAACACACACAAGGTAAAAACACCCTCGAGAATACGCCGATTCATTCGAGGATGGCCTCCCCCAAACCACACCATCGTCCGCCATACTATAGCCATCAACCCCTGCTGGGCTCAATTGCGGGCTGAGGGGTGTGTACAAGGTGCACTGTGCCCCAGCCCACGTTAGGGTTAGCCATATTCGATGATCCTCCTCCAGGATCAGAAATTGAATGCGGACGCCCTGCCCAATTGCCTTGGAACATGGCCTGGTCTTGCACTGAATCTCGAATGGCCATCGGGTAGAGTCGGCCGCGGAGCATAATTATCGACAGTCAATTCTCCATTGCTGGGATCTCCTTCCGCCATTCGCATTTCGGCCTCTTACTGGTCGCTGTTTAACCTCAATCACCGCCAGGTGTTTCTCTGTGCGACCCGGCTCCGGTCGGACAAGCTCTCTATGGATTGCCGTTGAAGGGACTGAGACAACAGCGCAAGGAAAGATTCTTGATCTGGCCGAGACACTGAGGCATTGTTGAACACATGTTCTCCCTGTCTCGCGGAAATGATCGGATGAGGTCATCCAAGGGCATGCCAGACGACGTGAAGAGTCGGTGAAGAAGGCAAGACTGCATATGATTCACAAATTCTTGTCCCGTCGGATACCGCCACGGCTTTTTTATGTCTCGGAGACGCATCGAACACCACCTGGAATGAACATGGAAGATGGGGATGCAGTAGCGGGAGCGTGCTTTATGCTTCCCTGCAGAGCGTCACACTGCTAAGGCAAGTACGGGGTCGACCTTCACAAGTTCACAGCACTTTTAGGCTATCTTATGAGTCAGCGGAAATTCTCTGCGCTGGCCTCTTGTCGTTCCTCGAAGCGCATTATTGCTCCCTTACATGTGGAGATGTGTGGTGCTTCACCGACACCGACACACAGAAGTTGATGTTGCGCAACTGGTTGATTGCCGGCCGGGAGAGGGGTTGGAATTTCTGGGACCGGAATCGGCTGCCACCATGGTAGCAATGGCAACTCACCAATGCTTTGACTTTTCCAATGTCATTATCTGCGCCCCAATCAGATGTGCTTTTTGGACGCTTCGATTAGCAGAGTCAGATCCTGTATCCGGAGAGAGAGAGAGCAGAGTGGTGGTGTCAGCTTCCCAAATTCTGCAAGGTCCGATACTGCAGCTCTATCAGATATCACCGCATCCCAATCCGCCAACCTACAAGAGTGTGGCAGCAACCATATTTCGGACATGGCATGTATCGCATATTTGTCTCAACGGCTCTGCGGGGTAGAAAGCTGGCCACCAAGGTCTTGTCGTACCACCATCTCCAGACCGTCCATCGTCGTCTACCTATCAAGAGCACATTCTGCCAGCCCCCTTTGTCCCTCTTGGGATAGGTATGGCTCGCTGGATGGAGACTCTCATCCAGCAAACAAGGCCAAGAGTTCCCATTCCACGGCATCAAGCTATGGAAGCTAGCGACGGGTGCATACATACGAATGCAAAAGCCCAAGAGACCTGCTGCTGCTGCATCAACCATGTCCTCTCGTCACACTTTTGACCGCCATCTGCAGGGCTTGTGAGTATGAAGTCATACGTGGATATGTGACTGAGGATTCATTGACTGTTGAGAGATTTCTTTGCCTCTATCAAATTTGTCTGGCAGCAACGGTGAGCCAGTTGCGCAGGTCATGTGCCACAGCTACAGCTTTTGCCTGGTCACGTTGTTCGCTATTGACACGGAGCGATTGGGCGGTAAGTAAGTATCCAGAGGCGCGCATGATTTGCGAGCTGAGGGCAAGGCGAGACTAATGATAAGCGATCCACGGACTGCGCCGACAGTGACACGCAAGGTGGAGGATGAGGAGCGCAACGGGCCAACTGGGCGAAGAAAGGTCATCTTTGGGCGTGGCAGGACCCATTAAGATCCGAAGCGTCCCATGTCAGTCCAGTCACCCAAGAGGACCAATTCCAAGACGAAATCTCGCCTCATATTGGGACCTTTCGTAAAAGAGGCTTCTCGCAAGGCCATTGGCCTCGTCGAAAACCCCCGGACGGAATGGTAGTCTCGGTTTGATGGGGATTTCTCCGATGGAGGCCCGATGGGCATACTGAGTGGCTGAGAAGACCAGTGAGGGGAAGTCAGTTGATCGTGAGGGTGGGGTCCTGGCCCTGGACCGTGGACATTTGAGAGTCGAGACTCGTCGGGATCGGAGGTGTGCGGTGGGCTGTAGGTAGCCGAGGGTGCAACATGAAGGAGGCAGAAATGGGGAGAGGGGGTGTAGATGTGGCTGTAATTCTCCCCTTTCTTTCTTTTTGGGCCTCTCTCTACTGCGTATGGTTGACGGACGGTCAAGTAAGGTGGCCGGTCACGGTGTAGCACTGATTTGCTCGTCCCGCCATACGGGAAAACGAACTGCTGGGCAAGAAAAGCCGCACGATGCAGGACTTCTACGGGCCATTGCATTCCTTGGGAAAGTTTCCCAGCCAGAAGGATTCGGGTGGCCGTTGAGAGGACGGCCATGACGGGATTGGGCAGGGCGCTCACATGGCTTGTCTCGTCTTGTCTTGATCCACATGCCTTGACCAGACTAAAGGTGCGAAGTGTCAAAGACATAGCTAAGACTACGCCTGTGTGGTGCTGGGCTTGATCCTGGGGGGAAAAAGAGACTTGATAAGATTGGAATGTGATGACAGCTAAGGTCCGATAAGTGATGGGTGGTGGGCCGTGGGCGGTGATAGTGACACAAGTCCGCGAACAGCAGGCGGTGGGCGGCGCATTTTGGGGGTTCTCTGCAAAGGCCGCGAAAGGCGAGAAGAGGGTGCCAAGCAGGCATGGGAACTCAGGCATGGATAGCTAAGGTAAAGCTGTACAAGTACTACGTAAGCTGGTTGTATCGGTAATGGTATGTAAGCTGGGCACTAGCGAACCACGAGCGGACGGGCGGGCGGGTTGAGGAAAGCGTGCAGTGTGCAGTGCAGCGCAGTGCAGTGCAGCTTTTTTCTTTGCTTTTTTTATTGCTGTGGCATGCGGCTTCAAGCTTGTGTGGTGCGAGGTCATCAGGAAACAAGAAGAGAAATGGACGGGGAGAGAGAGAGGTGTGTGTGCCGGGGAAGCTGCTCGTCCTTGCCCCTGGTCCTTGTCAGTGGTATCCTTGCAGGTGATGGACAGGGCACGATGGGAATTTTAGCTCGAATGGTGTGGGGGCTATGGGCCAGAAGAGTCGAGTTCGAGGAAGTACGGAGTGTATGTACCAAGAGGCAAGAGCCCATGTTGCGGGCGGTGGACTGAGCGAGGGTTGAACGAGGGTGCGCAATCGGGTGTTGTGGAGTTGTGGATGACTGCCCAAAAAAGGTGTGAAAAGGAAAAGCATTGAAGGTAAGGTGAGGTGAGGTGAGAGACGTATCCGTTCGGATACAGCAGAGAGAGGAAGAGAAAGAGGATGGCAAGGTCTCATCCCGGCGGATGTGTGCCACACCCCCATTCCCCTCTTTCCCTTCTGTCTCCTGCCTTTCCCTTTTTTTTTGTGCTTCACGCCGTTGACGGCCGGCGACCGGGGGGTGGTCGTCGACATGCCCCACTTATTCAGACGACAAGCGAACAGCGAGTGGCCGCCAGATTGAGAAAGACGGGCGCTTAAACGCCGCCGTAGCGGCAAGCCGGGGGCAAGGATGTATGTACGTATTCCCGTAGATAACTTCACGGTATCCCGATTTTCCAACCAATGGCGTGTTAGCGTTCCCTAAAATAACATCCCACGACATTTTGTTTCTTTGGATTTATGGCCAATGGGAAGCTCCAGCGCCTGCCTCTTGCTCTTGCCCAAAGTCCAGGTCCGTCGGCTGGGCGCTATGCACGAGCTTCTTTTCCCGTCCCCGGCCAATCAGGTTTACACTTTTCCCGACCTTTGCGCCGTCCTAGACCCTCTTTCTCCCGTTCCTCGCTTCAACCTCTGTCTCCTCTCTCTGTTCGAAGTTCGAACCACCCCCCTTCCATTCACGCATCCTCACAGAGCAGAGACAGGTCCATTGCTGAGTACTGACTACTACGCTTCCCCACGCCTGTACGAGCACAGCTTCCGCCCACTGCTGCTGCTGTGCTGCCCTGTGCCTGGCCAGTTGCCTGTGTTGGGATATGGGGGGGGGGGGGGGGACGAACGGAGTACATGCCGCGTCCTGCGTGGTGCTTCGCTGCAAGTGCAAAGTGCTTGCTGCCGGTTGTGCACCTCTATCCACATGGATGGCTGCCCGGCTACACACCCCCTTTGGCCGGGGAACCACCAGCCCTTGAAGCGTTCCCTCTCTCTCTCACTCACTCTCTGTCTCTCCTCACATCTTCACCCAACAACTAATCGACGCCGGTATCGTCGCCTAGGACCACCGCCGTTGTTCAGGGTTCAATGAATGGTCGATTCATGGGCTGGGCCTTTGCCCGCTCGGCCACACACACACGCACGTAGGTACACGCAAGCGCACTCTTCTATCTGCCTCTGTCGTCTCTCCAACCCAGAACCTAGCACACAGAACCTAGATACCTAACCTGCCCACACACCACCCGGGCTATTATTATACACTCGACTGGTCTGTTCAGAGTGCCACCATCGGCGCCGTGTGCAAGTGCCACAGGTCGAATCACACCAGAGCCAGCATGCATATTGGGGAACGAGGGCATGCCATGGGTAGGTGATGGGATACCTGTGCGTGCTTCTGCTGCTGCTGCGTATGTGCTGTGATCCGACTCTCTCTCAACCACCATGCTTCCACCTCCTCCTCCTCCTCCTCCTCCTTCTCAACGGTCAACCACCCCCCCAGTCTCACATCCCTACACTGCTCCGCCGTGCATGGACACACTAGACATACATAACTCGCGGTAGGCGCCCGCCTTGTACCGGCTCCCCTCCTTCTTCTCTTTTGCGACCCGTTACATACCAAACGAGCATATTCGGCTCTGCTGGACCTCATATCTCTTTTTCCTTTAGGCATCTCCTTTTCGCTGGTCTTGTTTGCTGGCCCCGAGGCGTATTCAACCTCCCCATAGCTTGCACTGCGTGCCGCTATCCCCAAGTATCTACAGGCTTCATAGAGCAGAGTACTGCCGGCAACGGCTTCCCCCCTCGATTCCCAGCTGTACGGGAAAAAGCAAAGAAGAAAAGGGTACCAAAATTGCCACGGAGGAGGCTGTCCTGCGCTGTAGACTGCAAGTCAGATATAGCCAGTCCACGCCCTCTTGAACATTCCTCCACCCCACTTTCCGTATCTGGGAATAACCACTTACACACATACACACAAAATGGTGAGTTGAGGAATGACAGTCAAAACGGGGGTTTTGCGACGCGGTGTGTGGCTTTTGAGGCTGACTTTGCGCCGCTAGAACTACACACAAGAATATGAAAGAGGCGAGCGTCGCCTGCGCCATGAGATGCGCGAAAAGGCGCCCATGCGCGACACATTCTTTGGCATCAAAGCCGAGCCGCAAAGGCCAACGTCGGTGGCGACCGAGTTCATGGACATGGAATGGGACGACGACGTGCTCAGCGAGTTTGAAGACAACTCTCCTCGGATCAGTGTCAACTCTGTAAGTGATTTTGTTGGAAGCGGCAGTGGCCCCGTCTCCAAGAGGGCTATAGCTAACGTGTGTGGGCGCAAAAAGTCTGGCGGCCAGCCAAGTATCACGACACTCTCATCCTACGATGAGGTGCAGACGCCAAGATCGAGTCAAGGGCGGATGATGTATGCGACAGAGATGATGGAGTCACCAAACAAGAACATTGAGGGTCCTTCCGGCCCGCACCTGTTCCGTGCTTCCACCGCCAGCTACTTTGACGAGGCCATCCTGACGCTGTCCCCGGTGACACCCAAGACGGCGCGACCTTTCGATGAGCCATTCCGACACATCAGACCGCAGCAGCCGCCGATGCCCCCATCCAGACACCAGAGCGGTCCCTTTCAGTTCACGTACGAAGAGTTTGAGTCGAGGGAGCTCGTCTCATGGACGCCAGAGATGGTTGCGCAGTCGATGCTCAATGCTGGCATTGAGCTCTCGGTCGCCGGCCGCTTCGTGGAGAACGATATCAACGGGCCCATCCTAATTACGTTGAAGTTCGAGGATCTCAAGGAGTTGGACATTCCGTCATTCGGCATGAGGACGCGCGTTTGGAACCAGATTCAGGTCTTGCGCGACAGCAGACCTAGCTCGCCACGCGCCCCGACGCCGATCCAAGACGAGCCGAGCCGAGAAGTCAAAAAGGAGACTCGCGAGGTCCGGGCGGCGGAAAGGCAGCAGACGGACGACTGCGGGATGAAGAGGAGCAAGAGCAGCAGAAGGCGGCCCAAGAAGCCGTCGCACGACGATATCATCACGCCCATGGAATCCGTGTCCATCGTCGGCATCGAGCAGGTCGTCCCCAAACCGCACCAGTGCCCCAAGGGCGAGAACTGCTCAAAGTGGAGGAAGCAGCAGCGCCTCATCGAGGCCTTCA